GATTTCGAGTGAATACATCATCATAATACCGTGTTTTTCCGAAAATAAGACACTGTCTTCAATTTTCTTTCGAAAATAACACTAGGGCTTATTTTTGGGATAGATAATAATGAGATTTTTCATCATACAAAATATGAATACCGATTTCCGTTTACTTATAAATAGCACGTGTAGACGCCAAATTTGGAGTGCCTTTAGCGTCCACACCAGTTGTAATTCTTAGATGGTCGATCTGTTTTAGTAAACTGATTTTGTCACTCCAATGCAAAAAGACGCGTATAACAGCACAAGTTGATGTCGTTTATTGTCAGGAAAGTACAGGTGTACGAAGATACGTCGGTACGATGTTAGAAGTACGAGAATACGACAGTATATGATTACGACAATACTTCAATACGTGGATATGAGAGTACGAGAGTACATCAATACGGTTTTCTAAATAAAACAAACAATAATTACAACAAAAAATGTGCCGACAAGATATAACTCGACAATTGAAATCATTAACTAAACAAAATTGTACACATTAGAACTGAACTTAACATACGCAGGTTTACGCCAGTAAAATAACAGTTGCGGCTGATTACAAAAGTGGTCATTATAGAACACGGTACAACTGAAATATTCCCTAAATATAAAAACAATAAACTGAAATACGTACTTGACAGTGTAGCTTTCAGCTTACAAAACAATCGACAGTTGATTGGGACAGTTATTGAAATTAAGTTAATGTTTAATAAATCTAAATATATGAAAATACAATTAAAACCTTGGAATTACAAATCTGCAACCAGACAACGAAAACCTTGCACCACAAATCCCACAGTACTGAGAAGGTCGAATCAAGGTCCTGAAGCAGCGCGCGAAGCAAACGCGCACGGGGTATTATGATGTTTCAATCACTAAAATCTGTGAACGTATATATCACCGGCGCCTCAAATGGTGAACAACAAAAAATATAATGAAGCGAAAGAGGCAGTTTCATCCCGGCCCCTTAGAAATTGAGAATTTGCCATCCACAAATTCGAAATTTCTACACACTCAAAAACAAAATCACAAAATTTGAAAACGACATTGATCTCACATACACACAACTCAACTAGAGTAATCAGTAGTTTATTTTTCACCACACATGAAATACACTAAATGCATACAGAATGTAAAAGGAAGCAAAAACGGATAATTCGAGGTGAAAGGAGTCGCGAAAACCAAAATTGGTTATCGAGCGGCGACACCTGAGCTAAAGTCTAATAAATGAATCATATAACAATGAAAAAAGTCAAACAATGAATAAAAGAATATAAAGAAGTGAAAAATCGAGACGACCTGAATCCAAGAGACGCTCGAAACACAGAAAAGCAAAACGACTCCAAGCACATATGTGCGAGTAATTATGGGAACGGCAGCAGGAATGCAGTACAGTGCGATGACAGGATAGCGAACTGATATCGCAGCGTTATGGAATTGATAGTTATTTAAACAGATTTTAAATATATCCCGGTAGGGATATTATGTCGATAACACGGCGTAATCATAGTTTTAATGTTTGCCAAGAGTTCGAATAAGATTGCAAGTGCTGGGGTGCAAGAAGATTGCAAGTGCTGGGGTGCAAGAAGATTGCAAGTGCTGGGGTAAGTCGAATCATCATTAATACATTACAGATAAAAATTATTCTAATCTGTGAAAAACAGGCTAACTCAACAAAGTAGATGGGGGTAACAATAAATAGCGTTGTAAATTAGTAAGCATACCGCTTGGAATCGTTGAGAATATAGAATGAACACGATATGTGTATGCACAGATGGATGAAATAACCACTGCAGCACTGAGTATCAACAGTGCTATATATATATAAATTTCGAAAATGCAACAAAGCACAATAATAATAAAGTGGTAAATATGATAGCTTTTTACAAAAATATATAGGAGATAGTTATTAAATTGTATTTGATGAGAGACCAATATCAAGGATCATGACTCATGAGTGTAGAACTGTTGAAAGATACTGCTAACACTATACGAATAGGCTATGAGCAAAATTGAATTACCATTGTATGGCATATGGCCATACAGTATAATATAGTGCAGAACATGCACTATGGAAGTAGATGATAATAAAGAAGCAACTTAAATATTTACATGAAACATTCAGATTCACTTATTACAGGTACTGTCGACTCTGGGAGGTTGTGGATCTAGTCAAGCATTCTGCTGGCAGTGCCAAGGAAAAGTCAGTAAGCACATCAAACAGATGTGCTGGTGAAAGGCAGACAGGTAGGATGAAAGCATGAATTTTTTGTATTTTATTTTGTAAGTAGCATATGTGGAGTCACGTAAACTTTGGGGAATGTTATTCCAAATTATTACGCCTTTGTATTTCAGGGAATTTTGAGATTTGCTCAGCGAAAAGCGAGGTATAAAAAGATTGGATTTGGTCGAAGAGCGTGTGTTGTGTTCATGCACAGAGGTAAGCGAAACAAAATAATTGTCGAACGCTGTGGGCAAGTAATTATTCTGAAATTGGTGCATAACTTTGGCAATCTCTAGAGTATAAATGTCGGATAGTTTCAACACCCTGGTTTTATGGTAAAGGGTGTTTAAGTTTGTACGAATAGACGCTCTGGAGAGAGTTCTAACAGCTTTATTCTGTAAACCTCCAATTTGTGAATGTTGGTTTGTGTTGCAGAGCCCCATGCAGTTATAGCATATTGGATGTGGGATTGAAAAAGAGCAAAATAAATGGTTCGCAGGGTAGCATCCTGCACATAATGCCTAAGTTTTCCCAAAATCCCAACAGACCTTGACAATTTCTTGTGCATCTCGGTAATATGAGTGTTCCATTTTAAGTTACTATCTATATAGAGCCCGAGATATTTAAAGGATTGAACAACTTCCAAAGCAACCCCCCTGATTTTGATTAACATGTTGGAATGTTTTTTAATTGATTTAGGACTGAATAGCATGACTTTAGATTTTTTTACGTTCACAGTGAGTTTGTTGCATAACATCCACTCAATTATTTTATCTATTTCAGTGTTCATAGTATTTTGGAGCGTGGTTGAATCTTTGGCACTGGCAAGCAAGCAAGCGTCATCGGCGAAGAGTTTTGTTAAAAGATTCGAACAGTTCGACAAATCATTTATGAAAAGTAAGAAAGCCAATGGTCCAATGACCGAACCTTGGACAATTCCACAGTGGATGGGCAACATCGGAGACCTATGACATCCTACTTCAACAAACTGTGATCGACCACTCAGGTAATTACATAATAGTTTGCATGCGTTACCTCTAAAACCACAGTGTATCAACTTTTGGACAAGAATTTGATGATCAACTGTGTCAAAGGCCTTCTTTAATCCAGGAATGCACAACAGACAGACTCCCCTTTATCAATTTTTTCATAGATAAATGAAATAAGATCTAGGATGGCATGGGAAGTCGAGTGATTGGATTGAAATCCGAATCCGAAGTTGAGCATTCTTCTATAGACTAATTTTTCCAGGACGATGCCAATACAGGGTAGAATTGAAATTGGCCTATAATTTGAAGGATTATTTTTGTTGCCACTTTTGAAGATGGGTATTACCCTAGCAATCTTCAGAGCGGAGGAAAAATTCCTAAACTAAATGATAGATTAAAGAAATGACTCAAAGCTGGGGATATGCTGTCTGCGACTAATTTTAAGAAAAAAAGGAATATTATCATGCCCAACTGCTTTGCCTTTTTTCAGGTTCAGTATTACTTGGTGAACTTCTAAAGGTGTTGGTGGCTCCAGAAAAAAACGAATTCTGTGTAGGAGCACCCAAAAAGGCTTTGAAAGATTTCGTACTGTGTGGGACATTATCGGCAAGTCTCTTTCCTACAGATGAAAAAAATTTATTAAATTCAACGGATATCGCGACAGGGTCTGAGTCAAAATATTTTTATATTTTTTAAAGTGGAGACGCTGGGATAAAGTTCCCTTCAGGAACTTACTTTTGAACATCTTGTTCTTATGTTTAATGGAATTACGAATTCCTTTAGTAATCCTAGGTTTGGAATAACATTTGTTTTCTCTACGCGAAAATGGTTTTAATGGGGCATGCTTATTGATTAACCACTTGAAGTGACTAAGAAAAGTATCAAATGAGCTATTGAAGTTTACTTCAGATAATATAACACTAGTATAATTATTACACATTGACTCAACTTCTAGCCTGAACGAGTCAGCACAAAATTTAGTCATGTCCCGTTTCATGCGAGTGTTTGTTTTAACGTTACTATTAGTTGCTGATATTGTGCACATTATGGGAAAGTGGTCGGTGAGATCACTGAGCAAAATAAATGACGAAGTGCGGGAATCTATGATATTAGTGTAGATGTGGTCAATTAATGTGTGGGAGGTTGAGGTCACTCTGGTTGGTTTGGTGATAAGTGGACATATGACATTGGACATTAGCATATCCAGATACTTGGTAGTAGGATTGTCACAAGAATTAAAAAGATTTATATTAAAGTCGCCTAATATAATAAATTGCTTTTTAGCCATCGCAAGCTTCTCAAACAAACAAGACATTGCTGTGGTGAATGATGGGATATTGTTTTTTGGATGTCTATATATTACACCAACAACAAGATTTTGAATTTTTGAGGTTGGTTGGAAATATTTGAGTTCGATCCACAAGTCCTCACAGTTTGGGAGGCAAGGGCTGAAGTCAGTGCATAAATGAAAGTTTAGATTGTCCCTAATATAAAAACCAACACCGCCTGCGCGAGTAGAGGAGGGAGCATGAATGAAAGTGTAACCAGAGATATCAATATTGACAACAGCAGTTTTCACTCATGATCCTAGTCTCGCTTAGAGCAATAATTTGAGGTGGAATACAAAAATTTGAAATTAGCTCAACTAGATTATCGGCATATTTTGCCAAAGATCTGATGTTATGGTGCAATTTTGCTAGAAAACTTGAAGTTACTCTATTGATATTGGATATTTCAAGGTATCGACAAAGTTCGTCATTTTAAGCTTTCAGCAGCTGATCGATATGGCGTTTCCAAGTTACACCATTAGAAATTTTGACAAGGTATGTCAGTGGTCCAAGATGTTTAATAATTGTGCCACTGACCCATCTTCTCTTTTTGCTAGAATAGTCACGAGCCAAGACTGCTTGACCAAGTTCAAAATATCTTGTTTTACGATTTCTTTTTGAATCTTGCACGTTAGTTTGCTTTTCATTAACTTTTGATGCTAGATCAGGCTTGACCAAGTCTAAACGTGATCGTAGAGATCGCTTCATTAATAACATGGCTGGTGACTCGTTCGTTGTCGAATGAGGTGTATTTCTGTACGCTAGTAGGAAATTATCCAGTTTGTGTAAAATATCACCTTTCTCCTTCCTCCCTCGGAGAAGAGAACTCTTGAAAATTCCGACAAATCTTTCTGCCATACCATTACTCGACAGATGAAATGGTGCAGATCGTGAATGACGTATTCCATTATTCTTCATAAAATTTGCAAACTCTTCCGACGTGAAAGTAGGTCTATTGTCGGACACAAGTTGTTTGCATATACCATATCTTGCAAATATGTGTCGGAGTTCTTCGATAGTTCTTTGCGATGATAGAACGCATAGGATTACTTCTGCCCATTTTGAATACGCGTCAATTACAACTAAAAACATCATATCCATGAACGGTCCTGCAAAATCAACATGAATTCGTTCCCACGCATTTGAGGGAAATTCCCACATATGTAGTTCAGTATTTGCAGGCATTTTTCGCGTTTCCTGGCAAGAAGCGCATTCTTTTACTCTATTTTCAATTGAGTTAGTAAGTTGTGGCCACCAGACATATGATCGAGCCAATGCTTTCATTTTGACTATGCCTGGATGTGACTCATGTAGTTCTTCTAAAATTCTTGAACGTAATTTAGGTGGAATTACAACTCTGTTTCCCCACAATAAACATCCTTCATGAACACTGAGTTCATGTCTTCTATTGAAATATGGTTGTAATTCATCATTTTTGATTTTGTTTGGCCAACCTTTCAGGACCAAATCTACTACTTTAGACAATATTGGCTCATTAGTGGTTGCTTTTCTTATTTCCGTACTTGTGACGGGCAATACTTCAAAAATGCAACGTAAAGAATATTCTTCATCATCTGTATGTGAACTTTCAGACAATGGAAATCTTGATAAAAAATCTGCGTTACCATGATTTTCAGTTTTACGATATTCGATGTCATATTGGTGTGATGCTAGAAACATTGCGTAACGCTGTAAACGAGCAGCTGTCATTTTTAGAATTGATTTATCCGGGTGGAAAATGGATGTTAGTGGTTGATGGTCTGTAACCAGTGTAAACCGTCTACCATATAAATATAGGTAAAACTTTTTCACACCCCATACTATGGACAGAGCTTCTTTTTCAATTTGTGAATAATTCATTTCTGCTTTTGTTAATGTTCGAGACGCAAAAGCAATGGGTCTCTCTGATCCATCTTTCATTACATTTGATAATACGCAACCAATACCATATTGACTGGCATCACAACTCAATTTCACTGGTTTCTTAGGGTCATAATGCACTAATACTTGATCAGATGCAATCAATTGTTTCGCTTTTATAAAAAACTCTGTTCACACGACTTTTGACTATACGAACTTTTGACCCTTTTTCAATAGACAATAAATTGGCTGTAGCACAAAATTTAGCATAAAAATTAATCATACCAGTGAATGCTCGGACTTGATACATTTTCAGGACGCGGTGCATCCACAATTGCTTTGACAAGTTTCTCTGTCATATGTTGTCCGTTACAATCAATACCATGGCCAAAGAAAGTTATACGATCTTTCATAAATTCGCATTTTGTTAAATTCAGTCTCACCCCATATTCTTTTAATCTCTTTAAGACGTTTCCCACATTCTTGAGGTGATCTTCATCATTTGATCCAGTGATGATCATGTCATCTAATATACATGCCACTTTAGGCAATCCTTGCAAAATTTGTTCCAGAACCCATTGCCAGATAGCTGGAGCTGATGCAATTCCATAAACCATTCTATTTACACGATACAGTCCTCTGTGTGTATTCAATGTGAGTAGATGTTTGCAGTCTTCATCGACTTCTAATTGCAAATTAAGCATTTTTCAAATCCAATTTTGTGAACTTTGTCCACCAGCTACGATTTCAAACATTCTTCCAACTCTTGGAATGGTATTGATCAATCTTCAAAGCTGGATAACAGTTACTTTGAAATCACCACAGAGACGTATTTGACCATTTGGTTTTTACAGCTACAATAGGTGTTCCCCAATCACTATGTGGTACTTTGGTGAGTATTCCTTCTTTGTCGAGACGATTCAACTCTTCTTCAATTCTTGGTCTCATGGCGAAGGTTACTTGACATGCCTTCCTGAACACGGGCATTTTCATTTATTACAAATTTAGCTTTATGGCCCTTGACAGTACCAAGTTCATCTTTAAATAAATCTTCATAATTTTTCAGTAAGGTATCCAGTTCCTTTTTTATATCAATTGGATTTTCATTTGGATTTAGGCTATTCACATTGTCCCATTCATTCCAGTTAACTTTCAATGCTCTGATCCAATCTCTTCCCATTAATGGTGGTCCACCTTTTTCGACCACATACAATTTCAATTTTGCAGCTTCATTTCCACATTGAACTTCCAACTGGTAACAGCCCAAGTGGTTTTAATGGCTCACCCGTGTACGTTTTCATTTTTATAGCAGTAGGTGTTGAGCTTCTCATTTTTAAAAGGCTTTTGATAATCTTTATTCGATATTATCGATACTGCTGTTCCCGTATCCATTTCCACTTGTATTACTTTTCCTGCTACTTTGACAGGTATCCATAGGATATCAGTGGCATGGACGGACACTTCTTCATTCACTTTTGCCACTTGTATATTCGATAGAAATTTCGATGCCACTTTATCTGCAGCGACGCTTTTCTGCTGCTTCTCTAGTGCAGTTTTGATGACGCCCAGGTCGTGGCTGGGAGTTTCGTTTGTGGTGTGGTTTAGATCTACACACAAATTTTGGTGTGACCTCTTTTATTACAAATTAAGACAATATTTCTCTTTAAACCAGCATTTACTGGGGTGATGTCCAATTTACCACACCTGTAGCATTTCCTTGATGCATCACGCTTTACGTAATGAGCATTTTTCACTTTCATAATTTGCAGTATTTTTGCCTTGAAGCACTTTTGCAGCAGTTTCAACTTCTTACTGCAATTTGCAACGCTTTTTCATGTGTTAAATTTTTCTCAGTTAATCAATCGATTTTGTGAGTGGCTGCATTTCAGTCCACTTACGAATTTGTCGCGAAGTGTGTTTCCAACTCAGCACCGAACTCACATGTGGTGGAGAGGCGCTTTAAATCTGCGTAAAAAGCTGACACACTTTCTCCATATTTTTGACTTCGTTGATGGAAGCGAAATCTTTCTGTTTGAACCAGTGGTTCCGGCGACAAATGATCTTTTAACACTTTACAGAGTTCTGCGAATGTTTTCGTGGCAGGTTTTTCCGGGGCGACCTAGTCACGTACAAGCATGAAGGTTTTACGCCCAATGATGCTGAGGAAATCGCTGACCTTTTTCCCATCTGCAATTTCGTTAGCAATCATGAATTGCTCCAGTCTTTCAACATACGTAAGCCAGTCTTCCTGATCTTCTATAAATTCTTCGATTGAGCCAATTGCCACCGCCATTTCACATATTTTAAATAGTGATAACTGATTACTTAGATGACTGACGACTTTATTTCAATTGATGCCGTTATTCTCAATTCCCGAAGCTTGATTCAGACTTAATTCACATAAATATATAATATTTCATTACCAGATTTATTGATTGTTCAAATTTAGTCTAGAGTATCTTATTACATGCGGTAGTTGACTGATTAAATATAAAATACTTATACTTATAAATATCTCGTAAACTGAATGAGCGTCTGATATGTCAAAAGAAAAGCAATTATTTTGTGAAATATGTGGAAAAGACTTTAAAACAGCAAGTAATTTGAAGATGCATAATGCTGATAATGTGAAAAGTCATATGCGAAGTCATACAGTGGGAAAATCATACTCCTGTAAAATATGCGGTAAATGCTTCACAAGTTCCAGTAATTTGAATGTACATAGGAGAATTTATACAGAAGAGAAGCCATATTCTTGTAATGCTTGTGGCAAATGTTTTTTACAATCAAGTAATTTAAACAGACATACATGCGAATCCATTCATGTGAAAGTTGTTTCATAAGTTTCAGTAGTCTGAATGCGCATAGAAGAATTCATACAGGAGAAAAGCCATATTCTTGTGAAACTTGTGGCAAATGCTTTTCACAATCAACCCATTTGAACACACATATGAGAATCCATTCAGGTGATAAGCCATACTCTTGTGAGATAAGTGGCAAATGTTTTTTACATTCTTGGAACTTGAATAAACATATGAAAATTCACACCAAGAGGAGAGTGTTCCCTAAAAATTCAATGTACGATGTAAACAGTGGGAAAAAATCGTACAACTTGTTGTGAGTGTTATGGAATGGTGAGTCTCTGAAGCTGTCTCTTCTATTCTATTTTTATTCGGAGATATTAGGGTGTAGTATCCCTTGTCTCGTTCTTTTCAACCATAAGTGTCTTTGGCGATTCCTTTCTGTTGGGGTTAAGCAAATACAGCTATTTTCTTCTTTTTAGTTTTGACAATTTGATTGTATCCTTTGTGCTCGAGAATATCTTGTAACTGTTTTTTCTGAAAGTTGCTTGCAACCCATATTTTTTTTCTTCGCCTAAACTTGTGTGAGCAGTGGTATGGCGCAATAGATCCTCTCACATGAGTTTGGACGTTGCTGATATCCTACTAAAATTACTTGTACAATTTTCGTCGTAATAATAATTTTTGACATCTTGAGTTTTTACCAAATTCATGTTCTTTGTAAGTATCAGATTGCCGGAATTCGTCAGCCAATTTAAAATATCGTAAAATGATGTTCGTGTTGGAAGTCGCCAGTCTTACTTGAAATAAAAAAATTAGTCTTCATCTAATACCTCATCATCTTCGTACAGATCTGCGTTTGCGGGGAAGTTTTCTATATGCACACTTTGGTCCAGTTTCGCAAAGTTGTCATCGACTGGAGATGTCTTTCGTCAATTTGTGATTATAAGAACCAAGCTCTCAAACATTTCATCAACTTCTGGCAATGTTTCACAGTTAAAAAAAAACACTACTCAACCTCATGACGGTACTGGTATTATTACGGTACTTCCGACCGTCGTCGGGTGCGGACGTGTCAGCTTGAAAAGACTAGTGAATGCTACGCGTTGTATGTTTCGGTATCTGTAATCTGTATCGCGCATTATCAACGTGAGCAAAGCCCATCCACTAGAATTAAAGAAGTTTATGGATAAAAGATTGGATTTAAAGTTGAATGTTGGACGATTGTTACGGGTAAATTGCGAGGTTTCGATCTTTTTATGAATCTAGTCGTGTATGATGGAACAGAGCGTAGAAAAGATGGGATCACTGCACCTGTTGGAATGGCTGAATGGTGGTCGTGTGTGGAAATTTCGATATTAATGTTGGAAGCATTGGAACGGACACAATGATTTTAAAGTGAACCAACCGAAAACGACAAAAGAACCCAACACCCCAATCCATGATTTGTGCATAGACTGCTATGGAACATCCAATCCATTTACCAAGCTTGTTTTTTAGTAAAAAAAAATTTGTCACTGTGTTATTTTTGCAATATAATTGAAGTAGGCCCACAACATCACCATTTTTCGTCAGCGAGTGTTCTTTAATCCATATATCTGTATAGGAAAAGCACATACACGTCGCACATTTTAATTTGAATTTATAAGTTGGTGCCCGATGTTACATCGTGTTTTTGTTTTATTCTGTTTTTGGGGGACGGGCACGTACTTGTGCGTATTTAACTTTTTTATTAAGTTATGCCCGTCCTCCAGGTCCTCTGTATTTTGTTTGTCCCTTTGTTGTTGTTTTGTTTGTATCAGAGTGACCGAATAAAATTGATTGATTGATTAAGATATCGAATTATTGATTACCATGAATGTCAATCAAACGGTGTCAATACTTGAAATTAAAGTCAATCAAGCGCCTATTAAGCTGGTGCTCTTATTATGTGGCCCGGTACTCTTCTAATCGTTCTCAAAACTCCATCAAGTTCATGGGTATAAAACTCTGGAACATGCTCCATGTCAACATTCGTTCAAAGAACTATATTTCATTTAAACAAGCATTAAAATTTTTTTTACCTCGATGCTTATATTTCTCAATTATAGTCCAGTTAATAGGCTTGATACCAATCCTAATTTTGCAAAATCTGAAGTTGCTTTATCTGGATATATATTTGCAATTTTTAGATAATGCTGTTGACATTGTCAATATATTTTTTTATTGACCTCACATAATACGTACATAATTATTGCTTATGTCCCATTGCTTAAAGTGCCTGTGGAGTGAATTTCCCACTAACGACTTCTCTTGCCTGAAAATTATTTATATATTGCTCTATCAGTATAATCCAAAACGGCTTCCCTTGTTGTGGTTGCAGGGAATTCCCCTTCAGTTACCATGGCTTTGCGACGTCGTGCCCGACTGCAATTTTCATTTTTGTAACTGTGTTCACCCCGCGCATGACGCTGCGAGACAAAACTGACATGTTGAATCGCCGTAAACGCGTCTTTTTGCCTTACTCGACACCAAACGTGACAACAATCACTTTGCATTTCTTTTTCTCCCATTTAAACATTTCTCTTCCAACTCTCCCGAGTCCATTCATAATTTTAAATTTAAACATTTCTCTTTATACTTACTCTCTCGTTTCGATTTACGTTTCCAAATTTTCCTCTGTACGTATTTAAATCTAGCTAAATTTTTTGACGTCATCTGCTACTGAACTCAGCATTTATGGTGTCGCTGACACGATGACTTTACAGTCTTTCGCGACTCCTTGTTAATTGCAGTTGAAACATTGTGTATCTGTTTTTTTTTTATTTCTTTTGCCTTGATTTAGTATTGTTTGTGTTACAATGTTTCATGCACGACGAAAATAAATTATCTGAATCTGTGCGCACAATGTATGAGTCAGGTAG